AAAACTCTGGTCTTTCCCACCAGTGCTCAGGTGTCTGCTGCATGTTGGGGATGCAAAGACCTACACACCAGTAGGAGAGACTAAAGGTTGGGCCTGCTTCATAGCCAGTTATGGTGTGATCTCAGGCTCAGGACATTCATCAGACTTAAGTCCTTACAGCTGTGAAACAAGGTGCAACCCAGTGTCAGCCTAGGTCGCCAAGGATCTAGCACTACTCTAACCTCAAGCAGCAATGTATGAACTCGGGCCTGTCTTTGGGGGTTGGGGTGGCTTTCAGGCCCTGCTCCCACTCGGCTCAGAAAAGTTAGAGGAGGAATGGGGGAGGCTGTTCGCCCCTGCCATCACCAGTTCCAGGGGCTCAGTACCTATCTGGTAGTTGGGGTCCTGTGTCTCTTCCTAGCACCAGGTTCACCATGGGGGCCTGGGCGTGTCTGGTACCGGGTTAAGGGTCTAAGACTGGATGGAATTCTCACCACACCAAGTGCGAGGCAGCTCTTTGACCCTGGGCCGCTGCCTTGTAGGAGGGGCGACCCCCTTTCCTGTCTTCTTCTTGTGACTTTTCGTTTTATTATTCCAAATGCAGGCAGTGTAGTCTCTCACCTGATTTCCTTAGTGCTTGTAAAAGTACTCTGGCGAGGAACAGATCTGGTGAGAGGGATCCCGGCTGGCTTTCTCCTAGCTGCTGTCTCACTCTGCCTCCCTTAAGGGCTGGGCCTGTAAGAGCGCATGCCCAACAGGTGCAGGGAGAAGGGGAGGGAGCCCTGCGTGTGATCACCAGCGCAGCAAGAAGCAGAAAGAGGAGGTTACACGCTTTTGTTCCCTTTGGATGATCGGGGGAAAACAATGCATCTAAAGAGGTCTTGCAATGAGTTCATCAAATACTATACTAATTGAGTAGGGCTGTAAGGATAAGCGAATGGAAGTTTGAAATATGAACACATCCAAGGGGTTCAGATACTATCAAATTCTTCTTTCAAAATATTGTAACTACTTAACAATTAAATTTGTTTCAAAAACAAAACTCTCAAAGAGCGTTTCATTTAATACTAAACCTCATTTAAATAGTCCCCCCATGGTATTAGGAAAATATCAGAGAAGAACAATTCAGAAACATTGAAACAGAACTTGAAGCTTCCAAAAACTCATCAATATTCTAATAGTTGGCATTTTTTAAGAATTCATTTTCCGGATCTCTTGAAGGTTGGAAGCTTTGATGAAGTTTTGAAAATAATTTCTGGCTGTTGGACCTGGAAACATGGTGTGTCATATAAATAAGTCCAACTGCTGTAAAGTAATGAGATTAATGAACTTTTTTTTCCCCTTAGGAAAGAAAATTGACTTCTTTTCTAAATTCTTTAAAAAATTGTTTTTCAGGAATTGTGTGTTTACATTTAGACTCAACATATGAAATGAGTTCATTTGGCAGAAACATGAAATACTCTTCAAACAGCATTCAAATGTTTGGTACATATTTATTTCTTTTTCATCTAAGTTGAACCAAATAGAAATTGGATGTAATGGTACAAATTCTGTAGAGTGGCAGATCCATGTTATACTCAAAGAGACACGTTGCCAATGGTTTCTGCAAGCTTCCACCAGGTGATTGAAAGTCTCATGGTTTATAATCAGTGAAAAGAAATAATATGGTACATGCTGTTATGGACCCTGCCAAGAAAACAAAAAGATACCGTAGAGACAAAAATATCCCAATACAGTGTTCCAGCTTACAACTAAGCCACTTAAACACAAACAGAACATGTTCAATTTATAATGAAAGCCAATATATAAAGCTATACTTTTAATGAAATAAAATAAAACAAACATACCAGTTTAAATAACACTGTTACAACCAAACGCCTGTTCATGGGATATCTATTATTTATATTTAATTAGAATGTTGCAAAATAAGTACTTCTTTTAAAATCTAACTCATTGTGATATTTTTTGTTACAGGTAAAACAATATAAGTACTCCATATTATCAACCTAAGTGTGGCACTTTTTCCTGATATCCCAAATACAATATTAAGTACTTTTCTTAATATATTTTACAGGCTAAAGATGTCACAACACAATCCATTTTTAAGGACAATGGCTGCTGTGTTTGTTTCATGCCTAACACTAATGCTCAAAATGATTTATTGTACTGTACAAATTTTACAAATATTTATACTCACTATTAAGACACACAAAACTCTACACCTGATAGCAAATATTAAACAGTCAGCAAGAACATCCTAATCAGTTAACAAATTTTGGAAAGGAAAAAAAAATTCTCTAGTGTGTGTGTGTCTATGTGCTTATACACACATATTTGGAATTGTTTCTTACTAAACAGCCAAAAACTGTCTGTTTCCCTTTTTCTATATTTTTTTTAGTGTTTATTTCTATTTTCAATACCTGCTTCTCCAAATTGATAGGTTTACACTGAAATATCCAGTAGTTAATACAAAAGAAAATATGGCAATATAGAATGTTAGACATGGAAGAGATCTCCTAAGTAATGACGTTAAATCCCTTTAAATTGTAATCCTGAAAAATCTGATCCCTCGCTCAGTGGGTGACATTGTGCAGAGAGAGGAGACACCTTGACATTGTGTGGAGAAGGAGAATGTGCAGGCTCCTTTTCTTTGCATATCCTCTCCTGGAATAGAAAGAGTGTGAAGAAGCAGGAAATCGACTACATGGAGGTGCCCTTTGGAACAAGGATGGATGGCTGTTGAGTCATTATCAGCTATGTGTCCCTAGAGATGAGGAGTTTTCTTCACCAAGGTTGTGTCCCAGTGGGTGAAAGTGAATCCTTAGCTCCTCCAAGTTTTGCAGTTGCCTAAGTAGGTACCCTTCCTGAATTCCAGGAAGAGGAACCACTGACTTGTTTATTTATAATTTTCCAAGTCTGAGCATTTCTCAAAGGAGAATCTGAATTTTAACTCTAATCCCAAACAGAACAAAGACTATAAACACATTTTGTAGTAGGTTTCAGATTCTCAAGAAAGACAGAGCAACATAGATTGTTGGTTTGTATTTCATATTTTTCTTAAAGTATGTGAGGTTTGAGTATATATGTGTAGGTGTCAGGGGACAGAGGGGGAGAGACATTAAGGAAATTAATGCTGTGGGACATGGGATGTAATCTTGGAAACTGCTTGCTCAGTCACTTCTTCTTTCCCAGTTCTCAAGCTACTGCCATCAGTGGGTATGTGGCAAGATATGTGATGCATGAAAAAAAAAAAATATATATATATATATAAATACCTATGTAATATATATACATATAATTTTATATAAATTTTTATATATGTATGTATATATACATATATAATTTAATGCCCTACCTAAATTTAGACCTGAACCCTCAAAATTGTCTTATCAGATTTATTTCAAGTTAATATTTTCACAAGCTATCTTTGGGTTGGATTTATTTTCCCAGAATCACTTAAACATTTCACATAAAATGTTTATTTTCTGGTTAAGAGACATCTCATTTTAGCAAACATCTTGCCTGTGCATTTAATGTTAGCAACTTAGTGAGATCATGTCTCGAAATTTTAAAAGACAAGTAAAAAAGGGGTGGGGATATAGCTCAGAGGTAAAGAATTCCAGGGTTCAATCCTTGGTATAAAACAAAACAAAACAAAAACCCCACAAAACCTCATGTTATACAAAAATCATTTTATCAGCTTTATTATTTCAGTTGCCAAATATTTAATTTACAGGTGACATCATCATTATCACCATGACTTGATTGTGTGTGTGTATTAAGATTAAAATAACTACTAATGTCATGTCCACCTTACTTCTTTTTTAAAGAAAAAAATCAGAAATAGGACAAAATCCTGCTTTTCCATCTCATGTGTTAATGGGAAAAGTTTTTCAATAAACTGCTCTAATGAAAATACTATTCTTGCTTTTCTGCTCACTATGAGTATTTCAGACACAAACTTTGCCAAGAAACATGTGATCTGTGTTTATGGTTCTGTTTCTCCAAATTGGGTAAGGTTTTATTGAAATACTGTTTTTCAATAGCAGCTTTCCATATAAGATGTTTTCAATTATGGTTGATGAGTAGCAATGTCCTCCAGTGGATTTGTAGGTAAATAGCAAGTGGATTTTTCAGATATCAGTTTTCCATATATTTGCATTTAGTTCTTTTGGAACTTGGAGGCTTATCTGAATGAACTTTTAAAATTTACTTGAAATATGTATCTATCAATTAATTTTAGAATAAAACCATAAGACATTACAAGTAATCAATACTAACTTCTTAATTATATAGTTTATAACTTTGAAAATTAAAATAAGTATTATTTATTTTTTAAAAAAATGTTCATGATTGTTTTTATGTGTAATCCACTTCCTCTTTTTATTTAAATAAAACATTTCATAAAATTCCTATTTTTTAAGAAGAAACTGCTAGATATTTAAAGTGAGAAAAGGAAAGACTTTAAGAAATAAATATTCTCCTAAATGCAAAACTTTGGCAATATTTATAAGACAAAGGTAAAAATGCTCTGAAGATCTCAGTAGATGAAGGAATTCATGAAATAATTTTCTTGTTTTTTATAAAATAGAAAGTTTTGATATCTAAGAGCAAAATGCTTTAAATTTTTTTTTCCACAAATAAAACATCATATTTCCAGAATATCTTTTAGATCAGGGAAGATTCTTTTGAAAGCTTCAAAGTTTAAGTTTAAAAATAACTTTAGTAATGCTACATTTAAATTTCTTATATTACCTCTATCCTCAAGCATGACATAAATATTAACATTGTTTTATTTCAGTTAGTCATTATAATCTGCTTTCATGTCTCTTTCCTAGACTGACAGGAGAAAAAGAAGTGTTACGAGAATATACCACAAGAGGGCAGCAAAAATCTTTTATTTTTTCTAATCCCTTTGGTCTTTGTTACCTTTCTGAGAAGTAGTCTTACCTTCCTTCTTTTCACATTGGAGTAAAATTTAAAGGGTTGATTTTCTTTATAACACAGAAATATTTTAAATATGATTTTGTAAATTTTTTTATGAAGGACACAGCCTCAAAGTGACATTTTTCTTTCATGATTTACAGCAATGACAACACACCTGCTACATAAAACTTATGGCTTAGACGACATTAATACAATAATTCTTAAGAACTACAGAAATTCACACGAGAGTGTTAAAATATATGATAGCTGGATCTTCTACATTATTGTAGAAAGGAAACATTTTGAAAGATTAAAACGTTTATTTTTATATTTCCCATGCTTATGAAATTCTCTAGATTTTCTTCAAAATTCTAATAATTTTAAGTCTTCCAAGGGTAAAATAAAATCATAACTTCCATGGACAAGTGGCTCAAGCTCAAAACTACAGTTGTGATCATTTTCTGATAAATATAATACGAAGCCATTAAGCAATGCACTTCTTTTAAAAATTAGTTACATTTATAAGAGGTTTATCCAGTCAAATGAGTATGTAGAATAATTTATCACAACACCTTTATAGTCATTTCTGTACTACAGAAAACTTAAGTAATGGAAAGAAGGTGAATGCGCTCTCTCTCTCTCTCTCTCTCTCTCTCTCTCTCTCTCTCTCTCTCTCTCTCTCTCATGTTCCAAATATAAATTCTTCAAAAACCAGCAGGTGGTCCCACCCCATCAGGAGTCCAGCGTGTGCCTGGGCAGGCGATAGTGCTCGGATTTGGAACGAAGCTTCTTTTCCGGTGGGTTGGCATACTTCCATTTGGAGGGTGACATTTTATGTTTTTTCCTCTTCTTATCAGTACACCAGACCTTTTCACAGTATTCTTCCACTCTCTGGAAGTTGCTGTAACCAATCAGCTGCAAGAATTCCTTGTACCATGGTTTCGTTCCCTGTGGGATACTGCTTTGGGCAGGACAGGGCATCCGGTGAGGCCCATCCTCCTCATAGTCTTTATTAAACATTTCCTCCACTCTCTCCTCTTCCACCACCTCCAGGGTGATTTTACGGACGGTATGAACAAAACTGTGCTCTACTGTCTGGCAAAAATAGATCCCGGCATCTGATTTGCGTACCCTGAGGAAGAGTAAACCCATCTCCATCTTAACCACTCTGTCATCTGTCTTCACCTGCAAGAACAAGAATGTAAATGGCACTTGAGTATTTTGCTGTAGGAAGAACATCAACCTATCACCCTTTCCACTACCTATCTGGAGCTTTTCCTTTTCATTACCATACCATGAAATTTAAAAAGCCAAATATATATATATATATATATATATATATATATATATATATTTAAATTTCATATATGTGTGTCTGTGTGCACGTGTGTGTGTACACACACACTCTAATAATTAAATCACGTGGGGGTGTGGGAGGGTGTATCCTGAACTTACTGCATTGGACGCCACTTTATATCAGTGATCTTGAGGTCATCTCATATCAACAGATTAAAGAGATTAAAGAGCAAAGTGAGAGAGCTTTCTTCCTAATTAATTCAATTGTTAGAAAAGCAATCCATTTCAGTATAGCACTGTAATAAGAGTGAAATACAGACACCTCACATTTGTTTTTTAAGATCTATTTTTTAACAAATACTGCAAATAACACTTGGATGGACAAAGCAAATAACAGGGATTTTTATGCCATCCAGACCATAATAATAATGAATGGTTCCAAAGGATCTCTGTTTAAAGTCTTGGGCTTCTTTCATTGAGTATCCTTAGAGAAGAAGGAAGGAAAGAAGGAGGAAGGAAGGGAGGGAGGGAGGGAGGGAGGAAGGAAGGAAGGACAGCCCCATCAATGAATTCAATACTACAGTGCTGAAGCCATGAAGTTTTACACACACATACTCACATATGATAGTCTGTATCCAAATTTCTACAAGGATGCCCATTAACATGGATTAAAGAACAAACAAATGAAATCCAGATTCTACTGTAAAGGACCCTACAGTTTAATAAACATTGTTTTAAAACACATTTAGGGCTCAAATATTTCTTTTTTATGTTTTTGATATAATAAATTATGAATGTCATTTCTATAAAAAATAATTATAATTCAGAATAAGAACAGAACAATAAGACCTTCAAGGAACAGCTCATATTTTGTCACCAATAATTGTACTACTGAATATATAATTTTATATGAGGCAGAGCTAGATTCAAATATTGGTACCACCACTTATTAACTTTTTGATCCAAGGTATTTATGTATATTTTCTTCTAAGCTATTCTAATAAGTTGAAAGATTCTGTGAAGGTTAAGTAAACTAACACATGTGAGGATGATTTGTGCACTATTATCCATGGTCACCTCTACCTTTTCTATATACATTTTTTTCTAGCTAAAGCAAAACTTAAATGTGCTTTGTTGCCTCAATCTTATATAATGATGGAAAATTCACAGTATATTTGGCAGTCTTCCTCTTTAAGAATACAAAAATAAAAGCAGTATTCACCTTTGTCAATATAAAAGGAGTTGTAGAGGCAACAACTACAATCACTTGGCAGGAAAGACCACTAATGCTGTTTTGATCTAGTGGTAGATCCTGGCAGAACTGCCAGCCTTGATCAGACCTGCATAGCTGAAGGTTGCAGTGTGATTACCCAGATGTGAAAAGTGCTCATTTATAATTGTGTAAAATAGCTTTCATAGTATGGTAATAAATTGTACTGCTAGAGCCATTAACTCAAGAACTTCTCCAAGGAGGAACAGGCTAACCCAAACAAAACCATTTTCAGTCTGTCCTACTGAACAGGTTGGCTGATATTACTCTCAGCACCTGCTTAGGTCAACAAACTCTTATGTGAACCTTGTCACAATGCTCATTGTCATCACAGCTCCAGACCAGGCCTTTGTGCAGCTCTCTTCCACTATGGACCATCTCTATAAATTCACCACAGGTTCTGTTGCAACCAGTGACCACAACCTGACACTGATCGTGCTCACTCTAAAGCACAGTTTTCAAATTTGTGACTGCATTTGATATGGAAGGACGTGACTACTTGGATGCCTTTTTTGTGCCTGTGTTAGATGTGCTATTACACTGTTCAGGCTCTCTATTGTATTCCTTCTTGGTTTGTGCTGAAGATTTCCCATTCCTTGATGGTACAATTCTCCAGTCTTCACTGATCTCAAGTTTTATTTCCTTCCTTTAGATAATACCTCTATTTCATTGCTTTCACCATCTTCCCTAAGATGGTGAATCTTACATATAGATCAGCTCTTGTTTTTTGTTTTCTATTAATTGAAAAAAAAAAAAAACAAACAAGACTTACATGATCCTTTACTACCTATAACTGGGTGTTTTCCCATTTAGTCTGCCCCCCTCTACTTTCTAATTCCCAGAAGTTCTGACAATAGGACCCCTATCCCCAACTTCTGATCATTTGTAGTTCTCTCTCCCTGTGTCCTCAAATCCAACTCATAACAGTTCTTATCAACATTTCTTCACTGGTGACCCTGGAAAACACCCTTTCTTCTTCATTAGTATGTGTGTGTGTGTGTGTGTGTATGTGTTTTTTTTAGAGAGAGAGAGAATTTTTTAATACTTATTTTTTAGTTTTTGGGGAACACAACATCTTTGTTTGTATGTGGAGCTGAGGATCGAACCTGGGCCGCACGCATGCCAGGGGAGCGCGCTACCGCTTGAGCCACATCCCCAGCCCCTTCTTCATTAGTTTTGCCAAAGTATTAGACTCTCATGACCACTTCTTGGACCTTGCCTTATAGCAGATTCCTCCAAATATTCCTCCTCCCTGCTCCTACTGTAGTGCTCAGCTTGCCTCTGTTTCAGATCTCTGCTCTTGCCTCTGCCTTGAGGGATTTTCCTAAGACTGGTTTCTTCTCATCCTGAATGAATGAACCCTGTCTCATTTTGTCAACCAGACTCTCTCATACCCCTGTAAAAGTGTCCTCTCTCCTTTACCACCATCATTTCTCCTGTTAACATTTACACACCTGAGCATGCAACATTGCATGCAGATATTTAACAATAGTACTTCAGTTAATTTTATGGCATCTTTCTCTTTCTTTCAATAAATGAGGCTCAACTTGAGAACTCACTTTTCTTCCTTTGCTCCTGAACTTACTCAATCTCTATTGCTTGTCCAAGTAGATGAGAATTATTCAGTTAACCAGACCTTGCCTTTCTAAATCTAGACCCCAAACCACCTTTATGTAGTGCTTCTCAAACCAGAGTTAGTGGGATGGGCACTTTTCTGGAGACCAGTAAGTTTCCTGTAAGAACGTTTATTATCACAATAATCAATATAAATTAATAAAGTATATTTGAAATCAATAGATGATGTATTTATTATCAATTTTGTATCATTTTCAAAGCCTTCATGTTAACCAGATACTAAGAAGAACAAAGACAGATTTAATATGTTAATGATACATTCCAGCCAAATGGAAATAAAACACAACTTCTGTGTTCTAACATACATAAAGTTATGAAGTCACCTTAATAAAGTGTTGAGTACTGAGCCATCAGTACTACAGTGCTACAGCCATGAAGTTTTACACACACATACTCACACATGATAGTCTCTGTCCAAATTATGTTCATGGAGATAATAATTTAATATAATGAAAAATCATATTAAGTAAGCATTTTAATGATGTATAGTTTGGTTTATTTTTTAAATTTATTTTTATTCTACATTTGAATAAAAGCTACAAACATAAGAGCGTATATATTGTTTAATTCTTGTGAATATTTAATGGTAACAACCCCAGAAGACATTCTACTTTTAAGGATGATTGACAGGGCAGCCAGCGCATTACTAGAATAAAATCTTTCCTTTCATAATATCTTGTGCAATCACCCCTGGTAACAGCTCCCTACTTCCCTCTTCTAGATCTTATTCTTTCTTTCCTTTCCGTAGTGAACACTTCTCTACTCTCTATCTTTTAAAAATTCTCCTTCTAGTCTTAGTTAAACTTTTACTTTCTTTATAACTACTTTCCTTAGAGCTCAAAAAGATATTTCACTTTTTAAAAAATCAATTCCACTCACATTTATAGTATACAAACTGTTACTCATAGTCCCTAAATTGTTTTTCTGATGAAACTTTCATCTCTTTAACCATATTAGAAATTTTTTAGGACAAAGTCTTATCTTCTTAATCCTTTGAGTTATTCCATAATGAGTAAAGTGCTCAGACATGTGAGAAAAAATTAATTGCTCACAGTCCATAAGCACACAGGGCAATACTAAGAGCATATCTGAAAGTCATTCACATCTTTTGGGTATATCTAATAATAATTTGAAGAGGGAGAAAGCAAGATTTCAGGAGCAGTCAGTAACTAAAGAAAAAGGGCTGTTTCACACATCTGTAGTAAAGTATGGAAGCTTGCTGTTACCTTAAAAAAAAAATCTGCAAACAAGCTCAGTGAATAAGATCTTTAGTTGCCTCTCCACTGTATCTCCTGGAGTAAGAGTGAATGATATATGAGGAACATGAAAGTCATATAGTCCAGTTACTAGCATACATCAAGCAGTTTATAGGAAAAAAAAAAAAACTACACTAGAAGTTAAACATAAATCTTTGACCACTGGAACTAAGGATGTGTTTTTTTTTTTTTTTTTTTTTTTTTGAAGTCTGGTATAAAAAATGTCTTTCATAATCAGAAACTCAAGCTTAAAAAACACTGCATTATATGCATGTAAAGTCTAGACTGGCCCACATTCAAAGACTTGGGAACATGACAACCATGGGAATCGTCCTACATTAATTATTTTCACATTAGAAATGGTGTATTTTTCAGAATTTCAGTCTCCTTTCCTGGCCAGAGTGCATTCATGTTATAAAGTGAGAAATAAGACCTATTTTAACTTTCAGTCTGGAGGACCATATATTGTATAGGTTAAATCACCTTGAAAGTTAAATAGCTGAAAATAAAAAATAACTTAGAAATTTGCATTTGAAGTCCTCCCACGATTTGATCTCTCCACTTTAAGTTAACTTGGGTACCTTCAACATCAACTCTTGATTACAGGATTGTTTTCATACAGCTTGCTTCTTCTATGTCTGCAGACCAGATTTCCTTGGTCAAGAGGATGGTACATAATATATCATTTCTATCAAATATTCTTATAGGCAATCTATATAAATACAGAA